AACAGTTTTAACAAGCTGTTGGAAAACCAAAGTAAGCCGTTGCTGGGGACTGTTAGTGGAGCAAAGTTTTTGAAGCCATCATTTGTCTGAACTCTATGGCATTGAATTTAATTGACGACCGTGTCGTGACGCCATCAAAAGTTGTCAAAAAGAATGCTGAGAGGACACCCGCGGGCGCCCGCCAAATGCTCCAGCCTACTGCCTTGACTCGTGGGGCCCCGCCAAACCTGCCAGTAGCCACCTCCGCGGGCGCCCGCCGATCTGCAGAGAGCAGTTTAACTGCTCCTAATTTTGTGCTACATTTGGTCCCCTTATCATTTTTTTGTGTGGTCCAGCTTCATCCTAGGGAGTTGGAGCTCGAAAAAGGGGGGAAAAGGAGAGGATTTTAGGCTTAATAAGGGGGGGAGGCTGGTAATATCTCATATCTCATTATTATTAGCTAAGTTTTAGAGAGAAAAAGATTAGAGAGGAGAGTTCTTGGGTGGTTAGGGCTGAGCTCGAAAATGGAAGGAGTCTCCAAGCTTCCTCCTTCCTTTAGTGCATCCATGGGTAACCAAACCTTCATCTAGGGAGGTGATGAAGCCCCTCCCTTGTAAGAATATTCTAATTTAGATTTTATTGTGGGATAACAATGTATATTCTTTGGTCATTTCATGATCTAGAGCCCTATAATTGTTGTAATTGATTTTAAATGTCTATAAATGATTATTTTAAGTTATTCATCTTGTCTTAGATGGTTACTTCTCTTAATCATATTGTTTGCACTTCTATAGTGACAATGGAAATGAGATCATGGAATGGTTTTCATGGCATGTTAATAGAGAAACTTGATAGTCCATTGCTTAGGTATTTCCTTTGATGGTTTATGCTTAATTCCTAGTTTCATGTGTTTCATCATTTGATTAAAGGCTTGATGATCTTTTGCTTAAGAGAGTATGCTTGATGCTACACCCTAGTTTAGGTAGTTTAAATGTATAAACTTTTGATGGATCATTCTTGTTTTTGATTTAATGGACTTCTTGATGATTATACGGCAATCATGTGTTGCTATATAATTCTTGACCATTATATATTGTCTATCCCCAATTTAATCTTTGTCTAGCATGTGTATAGGGTTGAAGGTGGATTCACTTCCCTAGTCCCTTCTTATTTATCTCTACCTCTTTACTTTAGTGTTTTATGCATTTTAATTCTTAATTTGAGTGACAAATCAACAAATCTCTATTTACCCCCGTCATCATTCTAAAAATGATTCTAGTCACCTAGGTTGCCATAAACTAGTAATCCCAGTGGTTCGACTTACCTGACCAATAGCCCTATTTTACAATGATTTGTGCTATTACAAAAGGGTTGATTTATAATTGTAATCGATCTATCGATCACACACAAACAATTAAGCAATACAAGTTAAAGTATTCAGCTTTATAGAAGTGAGAGTTTCCCATTTGTGTTCATTTGCCCACCAACTCCAACAGAAACATAGCACTGAGAGAGACTGCAAAAAGAAGAAAAAACTATAAAAACCACTTGTCTACTGCATAGTAATCAATACCATTTACAACCTGGCAGCACATCAGTTTAATTTAAGATTCCCCTTTATAAAAGTAGTATTAATTACCTAACTCCCATTATAATATCAAACTGGAGGACCACAAGTCTTGGTTTTTTTTTTTTTTTTTCATAATAATTGAAAACCTTCACCTCAAACCCATAATTGATCATTAAACCCTACTTTAGTTTTATCAATTAAAACAAAATTTATCCTGAATGTTTTAGCCATTACGTATTAATAACGATGGCAAGGATAAAAGAATTATGTTGATCCTTAATGAAAGCTTATAGTAATTAGAATTTTACTTGGTTTCTACTACCCGCCATGGCCTCATCATGCACGTCCTTTGTCATCTTAATATATCTATTACAAAGTTACCAACTAATTTTTAGGACACTTGAAATTAAGTTTCGGGAATGCCACATGCAAGAGTGTGGTAGAAATTTAGGACACTTGAAAATTCAGTTTCGGGAATGCATCACCAGATGATCTGGTCCGGGCAATACTTGAACAATTCCAGATCTTCCCAAAAGAAATTTTTGACTTGGGAGAAGAACTGGTCTTTCTCTTATTTGGACCATTTGGACGGAATTTTTCCCACCACAAGATAGTTGACAATATCGGCAAACCAAGGAAGATTTGTATGAGAAATCTGAAACAGTTGCTCATTAAGGAAGGAATCACGAACTGTAGCGAATTCGGAAGATTTCTCAATGAGTAAACGAGAGAGATGGTCGGCAACAACATTGTCTATCCCTTTTTTTATCCCGAATTTCAATATCAAACTCTTGGAGCAAGAGTATCCATCGAATTAGCCCGGGTTTGGTTTCTTTCTTTGCGAGCAAATGCCTTAAAGCGACATGATCCGAAAATACAATGACCTTGGACCCAAGAAGGTAAGAGCGAAATTTGTCCAAGGCATACACCACAGCTAGTAACTCTTTTTCAGTGGTGGTGTAATTCAATTGAGCATCAGAAAGAGTTTTACTAGCATAGTAAATAGCATGTGGTACCTTGTCCACACGATGGCCCAAAATCGCACCTAATGCATAATCGGATGCATAACACATTATCTCAAATGGAATAGACCAGTTAGGCGGTTTCATGATTGGGGCTGAAGAGAGAAGAGTACGAAGCTTTTTGAAAGCTTCCAAACATGCTTCATCAAAATTGAAGTGAATATCCTTGGCAAGAAGATTACACAGGGGCCGGGATATTTTACTAAAGTCTTTGATGAAGCGGCGATAGAAGCCGGCATGACCAAGAAAGAAACAGATTTATCGGACAGAACTTGGAGGAGGAAGGTTAGAGATCAATTCGAATTTTGCTTTATCGACCTCAATTCCCCTTTTAGAAATAATGTGCCCCAAGACAATGCCTTTTTGGACCATGAAATGACTCTTTTCCCAACTTAGAATCAGATTTGTCTCCTTACATCTTTGAAGCACAAGGGAAAGATTGTGGAGACATGAGTTAAAGGAAGATCCAAAGACGAAAAAGTCATCCATGAATACTTCCAAAAACTTCTCAACCATATCAAAAATATGGATATCATGCATCTTTGGAAAGTTGCACGTGCATTGCAAAACCCAAAGGGCATGCTTCTATAGGCAAAAGTTCCAAAGGGGCATGTGAATGTGGTCTTCTCTTGATCTTGAGGAACAATTGTTACTTGGTTATAGCCAGAATAACCATCAAGAAAACAGTAGTAGCTTTGGCCTGTGAGCCTTTCTAGGATTTGATCAATGAATGGGAGTGGAAAATGATCCTTCCTAGTAGTAGAGTTGAGTTTTCAGTACTCAATGCACACACGCCGCCTAGTGGTGATGCGTTGTGGCACGAGTTCTCCCGCTGAATTTTCAACAACGGTGAGGCTGGATTTCTTGGGAACAACTTGAGTGGGGCTTACCCACTTGCTATTCGAGATGGGATAGATGATTCCCGCATCTAATAGATTGATTACTTCTTTCATGACCACCTCCTTCATGTTTGGATTCAATTGGCGCTGCACCTCTCTAGAAGGTTTGGCGTCGTCCTTCATATGAATATGGTGCATACAAATAGAGGGGTCGATTCCTTTCAAATCAGTCACTGCCCAGCCAATAGCTTCTTTGTGCTCTTGTAGCACCACTAAAAGGCTATTTTCTTGGTCCTTCGAAAGGTCCGATGCAATGATGACCAGAAGAGTTTTATTTACACCAAGAAATACATACTTGAGGTGGACCGGGAGCGGCTTTAACTCAAGTTATGGTAGGGATTTCAATGAAGGTACCGGAGGAGTGCTGGAAAGTTGAGGAAGTGGTTCTCTTGGCACTTTCCAAGAGGGAAAGTCCATGATAGCACCAACTTGGAGTAAAGAATTTACTTCTTGGATGGATTGGTCGATATCAAAGTTTGCAAAGTCAAAATGAGACATGCAAGTTTCAAGAGGATCCTTGCTTAAAATGAAGGGGAGGGATTCTTCGACCACTTCATCTAACACATCAATGAGAAAACAGACATCCTCATCGGAAGGATGTTGAGTTACATGGAAGATGTGGAGTTTGACTTTCATATATCCAAAGGCGACATCCATCACCCCGGTTCGGCAATTTATTAAAGCATTAGTCGTAGCTAAAAAAGGTATAGGGAGGAATTTACTTGATAGCATCCAAGAGAGGTAAGTTGATCTTTACTTGCTTAAAGGCCTCTCACATGTCCTGAATTTTACAGCATTTGTTCCCAAAATGTGTTGACTCTTGGAGACGTTGAGGAAACGGAGCCTTAGGCTCATAAGAGGTCTCCACATTTGGGGTAACAAGCTTGGAATTTTCAGTGCTAAACTTTGGATTTTCAGGAGTGAAATTTGGATTAAATGAGCTATGATTTAGATTTTTAGGAAGAAGAACTTTTTCACCGTTTCCTCTATCAACCTTATTATCCACAATTCGACCACTCCGAAATGTGGTGATTGCTTGCACATGTTCATGAGAAGGTCCACTCGTAGGAGAGGCTTCGTCAATCACATGGATCCCTCTAGGATTCACAAATGGTTAAGCGGGAAATTTTCCCGTATCCTTTTGAAGAAGTTGGCACTACAAAAAAAATGACTTTTTACCACGGTGAAAAAGGCTTTCTACCATGGTTTTGAACCGTGGTAGAAACAGTCGTGGTAGAAAGTCTATTTTCTACCACGGTGCATAACCGTGGTAGAAAGTCGTTCTTTCTACCATGGTTTTGCATCGTGGTAGAAAGTCAATTTTCTACCATGATGCACAACCGTAGTTGAAAAAGGGATTTCTACCACGGTTCAAAACTGTGGTAAAAAGTGTTATATAATTTTTTTTTTTTTTAAATAGTGTAGCCCCCACGAGGCCTTTTTTTTTTTCCCTACTACTAGCTTGCAAGGATTCCAGAAGTCTACACTAAATAAATTAAAAATAGCATCATAACCAAAATAACTTACAACTAACCAAGAACATCATATATATATATATATATATATATAGTCAATTCCAAATCATTGGTTTATACAAAAATTAACCATATACAAATTTCTAGCTTCTTATGCCAAACCAAAATAAAACAAAAATTCTTATATCTTTTTGCTCTGTTTTAGTCTCTCTTCCATTGCATATATGTAACTTCTTCGTGAGCCAACTAACAAATATAACGGCAACCGCAATCCTAGCTTTGACCTACAAAGATGTAATAATTGAAGTCAGAGAATATAAAGCAAGTTGTAAAGTTGTCAAAATTAAACCAAGCAGAGCCAGCATTATAATAAAGGTACATTGATATGGTGTGATTTTATGTGAAGTGGTGGTGTGATCATTTTGATGACCATTGACTAATAATGATTTAAGGTTGTGAGAGAGAAGATAAGGCATCATATGAGAAATCTCAATTTGACTGACCATGGATGGAGCAAACTACAAAGAAGAAAAACCGAATGTAAGTGTGCATTTAGACATTTGGTGAAAATTAATCACTTATAGTTTCCTTAGATTTGAAACCATAAATCCATCCTCTGTAATCTAGTCATGTTAGTAATAAAAAAGAAAAATATAATACAGAAGATGGAATGGGGGGAAAAAAAAACATTTTATATGTGATATCTTTAGAATAATCCTCATGAATTAATTTGCCAAGATGAAGAAAGCAAACAGATGTTATTGTTGTTGGTGACGGGCATAAATTGTTTAGAAAATAGTGATATCTTCTGATTCAGGTCTTCTTCAAGTGAACATACATGTGAAAAGCTTCAGTAAATCACACCACACTAAAATGCTTGTGCAAGGCAAAATGTACTACCTCCGTAGATGACCCAATTCCTTTTTGACAAAAGTAACCAACATTTCAAATAAAGTGGAGGACAAAAGCATATCCTTTATCGCTTCAGGGCCCTTATTCTCTTCTTAAGTGCAGTGTCATTTGTCAACACCCATAGCTGTCAAATTGGATTATGTCCCGCTAGGATGAGAACAACTTCCCCAAATTGGATTGAGAGCCCCCTAAACCAGCTTCAAACTTTTGAAATCAAAGACAACCCCCCATTAAAAGGTGACTGACTATACTAATTTACTCAAGTTTTCAAAATAATTCAGAGGGTTAGGAACTCCTACGCATGTCATTATGTCAATATAGTTTATAAATGTGAAGGAGTTGTCTGAGAAACCAAAAAATACATTGCCAAACAAGCTTCAATTAAAATGTCAATATCATACTCAATAAACACAGTTCTGGAAAAAATAAATAAATGTCTTTTAAAACATGTCTTTTGACAAAAGAAGCGAAAACAACTTTGATTCGGTTCCTATCCGGATCAACAACCAAAACGTGATGTCGAATCATCTGACTTAACTTGCAGTATCCGTAAACAAGAACACAAGTTCAATAACAACTAAACAGAAATTTAAAAACCAACTATTATATGCCATGATAAATACCCATGAGCATTATTCTATTAGCAAATCTCCAGAATATTTTAGACTTGGCAGAAGAAAATTTGTATATATTATGATAAATAGACCAAAGTCATTGCCGCAGCTATTCAGTTGCTTTACAGTAATACGAAGGACTCATTGAACATTAGAATTTAATGATCCACTAAAAACAACCATAATAGGACAAATTGCTTGCCCCACCTCCCAGAAAAAGGGGAAAAAAGAAAAGAATTTCACGAAATGTTACAAATCCCCTTTTGCCATTAGTTGTCAATATAGTAAATTAGTTCCTAACCCAAAAACAAGAATATTAAACATACATGAAAACGACATAAAACAAACTATAACACAAAAAAAATAAAATAAAATAAAAGTGAATAAAACTCAGATCAGAAACAGGTGACTTAACTGTGTGTTAGACAGACAGACAAACAAACAAATAAAAAAGGAAAAAAGAAGTATCAGATTGATGAATGTTAGTAATAGCAGCAAATTACCTTTGCAACGAAAATATATATATATATATATATATATATAACCCACAATTAACCACTGTCTCTGTTAGAAGTATGGGGCAAATCCCATACCATACCTATTTGAGTATCAATTTGATGAATATAATAGGGGAGGAAAATACAAACCTCAATTCGTGTCCTTCGAATTTAGGGCTTCGAATGAGAGAGGGAGCTAGGGTTAAGGCTTGGAGAAAGGGGCGAATCCTTGTTCAATCTCGACGCCAATCAGCTGTGCCGCTATCTTCTCTGCTCTAACGCTGTGCTAACCGTCGATTCAACCTTCAGTGGCTTCGGTAGAAGGGTTGGGCTTGGAGAGAAAGAAGAATGACGGCTTAGACGGTCTTCTTCCTTCTCCGGCGGCTTCTCCTTGGCAGCAGGCGGCGGTGGAGCTTCCTCCTACGTTGCTGCCTCCGTATACATTGATTTCAAGAATTTCAGAGGCCATAGACTCCGAATCGTGAACCAGATCGAGAAAGGGGCGGCCAGCTTTTGACATATATATGTTTGTGTTCTGTAACAAAGTGTTGTATGTGTGTGGTTTCTTGCATGAGAGCAGTATAAATTTTATTTTACATATATATATATATATATATATATATATATATATATATTTATTGACACTAGCGGGAATTAGACCCGCGAAAAGATGAGTGAAAATTTTTCACAATAACCGTGGTAGAAAGACCGCCTAAATTATTGTAAAAATTTCACTTTCTATCATAGTTATAAAATCTTGGTAGAAAGACCCACTTAAATTATTAATTCACTTTCTACCACTGATAAAAAAATATACTTTCTACCACGGTTATTTTAAAATCGTGGTAGAAAGACCCGTTTAAATTACATTAAAAATAATTCACTTTCTACCACGATTATAAAAATAACCGTGATAAAAGAATATACTTTTTACTACGGTTATTTTAAAACCGTGGTAAAAAAAGTTTTCTACCACGGTTTTAAAATAACCGTAGTAAAAGATATATTTTCTACCATGGTTACTTTAAAACCGTGGTTGAAAGGGTCTTCTACCACGGTTTTTTTAGAACCTTGGTAAAAAAAAAACGTGATAAAAAGTTGTTTTTCTTGTAGTGTGGTTCATTGAAGTAGCTATTTGTCCCACTTGATTCTTAAGTTTATCTATTGACTGAGTATGTGAATAAACCATTCGAAGAGCAAGCTGTAGTGATGTCAAGGGTTGTTTGTTGGATTCTAACATTTGCTTGTTAAAAGATTCCATCATTTGCTTATTTCCAGCAAGAATCTCATCAGTTAGAAACACAGGAGATGGAGTAGAAACATTAGGATTATAGGGTGGACAGTAGCTTGAAGAGGCCTGAAATTGCCGATTTGGAAATTGAGAAGAGGGCTGATATTTTGCTGCCCTTGATTCTGAAATGTTGAATTTTGTAGGGCTGGTTGCCTCCACGAAAAATTCAAATGATCTCTCCATCTCAGATTGTAGGTATTGGAATAAGGATTATTTCCGGGCGTGAAAAACATAGCATTTGCCTACTCTTGATTGTTGCTAGAAAATTGCTCAGGTGTGGGGCAATCTTCCGAGAGATGGAATGGGCTAGTGCATAATGCACACACCGCACATACTGAATTTTGAGATGAAGAAGGAGAAAGATGTGGTGCAATTAATTGGTAGAATTTGTGAGTTATGGCATCCACTTGAGAAGATTTTTCCCTCCTTGTCTTTGGTTGACATAGATTGGTGTTCTTCGCATTGGTTGATGTTAGAGCCATACGAGAATTATGTTGCAACAATTTTTCACTCAAATTCTTGAGTAAGTTCCAAGCCTCATCCGCATTTTTAGACATGAACATTCCTCCACATAATGAGTCAACCATAAGTCTATGTGGCTCAGTTAAACCATCATAGAAAGTTTACACTAATTGCCATTTTGGAATTAAGTGGTGTGGACATTTCTTAAAAAGGTCTTGAAGTCTTTCCCAAGTCTCATAGAGTTGTTCCCCATCGATTTGTGAAAAGCTAAGGATGGAACGCCTCATTTGATTGGTCTTACTCACTGGATAATATTTTTTTTAAGAATTCTTGTTGCAATTGTGCCCATGTAGTGATGGAATTTGCAGCAAGGGAGTTCAATCAATATTTTGCCCAGTCTTTTAAAGCAAACGGGAAGAGACACAAATAGAGTGCAATTTCAGGGAAGCCCCTTATCTTGATTGTAAAGCATATTTCAAGGAACTCATCAAGATGCTTATAGGGATCTTTATTTTCAAAGCCATAAAAGGATGGAAGCATTTGAAATGTGCTAGATTTAATCTCATATTGGGCTGTATCGATGTTTGGCATCACTATGCAAGAATGAGAGGCATAAGTTGTAGGGATGAAATGGTTCCTAAGAGTCATAGATACCACATTTGAGATTTTAGCCCTTTCAAGATTGATTTCTATATCCCTCAAATTTTCTTCATTTCCTACCATGGTATTAAATTCAAGTTTGATTCCTCTTATATTTTTGAAGTCCCTAAGGTTTCTTTTAAGAGTCCTTTCAAGTGAATTTATGTCAATTGGTTCTTCAAAAGTTGGCAAAGTTAATGACCTACGGCCCAACATCAACAACAAAATTCACACAACAAGCACAACACCCCTTCACCATAACATCCACATACAATGTTCCCTTTCTCCTCAATTATAAACAAAACAGAAAATAAATGGCCGCGACAAGGACCAATGATTTGTAAAACAGAAAAACAAAAACAGCCTCGACAAGGGCTTCACAATCAAAAATCACCAAATTATACATATGTAAAATATTCACAACTTTTAAAATTAGAACTTTAAAAAACTTACCCAGAGTCCTTTAGACTTACAATTTTTAGTTTTCCCTTAACAAGCCTTGAGTTCCTAGAATCTCACAAGAGTACTTAAACACAAAAATCACCAAAAACAAACTGAAAAATATCCACGCAACACTATATTCACAATCAAACCAAAGGTACTAATCTTTAAACCTCGGTTACAATACCGTTAGCAATCCCCGACAATGGCGCCAAAAATTGGTGGTTAAAATATCTTTACCAATAATAATCAACACTTGTAATAACACAAATCATTGTAAAATAGGGCTATCGTAAGGGTAAGTCGAACCACAACGATTGCTAGTTTATGGCAACTAAGGTTGTCAAAATCACTTTGCTTGATGAAAGAGGTGTAAGGTTTGATTTGTTTGTCACTTATAACTAGGAATTACAAATTGAATAAAACAGTAAATGGAATGAATTTAAGATGAATAAAACTTATGTAGATTGGGTTAGGGAAATGAATCCACCACCAACCATATAAACGTACTTGCTTGTAATTAACTTGGGGAACATTTTATATATGTGACCATGATATGTAGTAATACATGATTGCTACATTATCTTCAAGAAATTCAAAAGATCAAGAATTAAGTATAATCCATCAAAGTTTTACATGATTTAACTACCTAGACTAGGGTGTAGCTAAGACATGCTTACTAAGTTACGGACTATCAAAAACCTCAATAAATATGATGAGAGCACATGAAGTCAAAAACTAAGTATAATCCATCAAAGGAAAGCCCTAAGCAATGGACTATCAAAATTTCCATACAACATGCCATTAAAACCATTTCATAATCTCATCTCCATTCTCACTATGAAGATGTAAGCAGTATAATCATGAGAAAATACAATCTAACACAAGACAATAAGTTCAACACAATCATTTAATGAAATAAAGATCCATTACAACTTGTGTAAATCTCTAGACTATGAAACTATCATATACATACTTCATTCCCCAAATCAAAATACAACTAGACCATGTTTACAAGGAAGAGCTTCATCACCTCCCTAGGAAGGGAGTTAGTTACCAATAGTAGCAAAGGAGGAAGAGGTTGAAGAACTCAGCTCTTCCATTTTCGCCACCTTTAACAAAAATACAACAAAAACCCACAAGAACTCTCAAGAACTCAATATTTCTCTCTCTAGAATAATCCTCCACCAACTTAATAATCTGTTTTACAATGATCACCCTTTCTCATATAAACAAGATGTCTACCAAACCTCTTCAAAATTGAGGTCCATGCCCCCTAAAAGCATTTTACCAATAACCCAATTAAGGAGGGAATCAAATTGAAAGGTTCAAAATGCCAGCTGGGTCTGCAGATCCTGGACGATCGCTTGTCTAGTGAAGGGACAAGCGCTCGTAATTAGCCTTCTACTCACTGGTCCGGATTAAATCTGTGTTGCACGGACGAGCGCTCGTCCAATGAAGGGACGAGCGCTTGTAATTACATTTTCTTTTCTGCCTCGAGTTGGAGTGCTCATCCATGAGGGATGAGAGCTCGTGTGATATGGTGCGTGCGCCGGGTGCTCATGAATGCCGGACAAGCACTCGTAAGGCTTTGGACAAGCGTTCATCCATGCCTTAGAACTTTTTTTTCTTTTGCTTTGAACTTCTTTCAATTCTTCAAGCTCTTAATCCTCTTTTCCCTTGGTCTTGGTTTTGGGGCATTGAGTCCATCTTTTGCCTTTTTGTTTTATAAAGAGTATCCATGAGCAAAATTTGGTGAATTCCTCCATTTCTCTCAAATTGAATAAAAGTAAGCAGTTGACACGTAACATAGCGAAAGACTACATACTCACATAAGTAGTAAGGTCACATAAGGCATGTCAATGTATGCATCATACAATCAGGCTAAGGATGACAAGCATATGCAATATGCTAAGGCAAATAAGCATAACCCACATGCTAAGTAGACAAGCGTAAATTGAAATGCTAAAACAGACAAGCATAGACAGGGCGCTGAAGCCGACAAGCATATACAGTATGCTAAGGCAGACAAGTACATACAACAAGCTAAAACTTACAAGTATATGCAATGTACTAAGGTAAAAAAGCACATGTATCATGCTGAGACAGTTACAGTAAACTTCTAAACATACGTCCACATAAACACGTAAACATGTTATTAAGAAGCAACTAAAAACATAGAGCATGGTAACACAAGCATGATATACACCCAAAACCCATCATCCTAAGGTTTTTCGAACCTAGGAGCTCTGATACCGCTTGTGACGGCCCTAGTTTTTCAAGGCAGTGCGTACTGTGATGAACCGAAGATTGACCCGATAACGGATCCAGATGCGGAAGCAAGAAATAAAACAACGGTCTCCCAAGGCACAACACGCCTCTAAGACACTTTGATGACCTTCCATGAGGTCGCAGAACTAAATGAGAACTGACGCGGAAGCAAAAGATAAAAAATATGACAAATAAGACCCCAAAGGCAAAATAATCATTTTGCAAAAATATGGATTCAGATGCTAATGAGTACACCGCTGGAAATACAACAAAAAACTAATCAAAATGGACTCAAGAATCGCATGATTCGGAGTCCGGGCGAAGGAGAAACAGCAAAACAAAGAAAAACAGACACATAAAGCAAAAAGGGTAAACTAGTAATTATTCAGAAAGATATAGGAGTAATCGAGCACACTGTTGGATAGATGACGAAAAATTAGTCAAGTTCAAAAAAAAGTTTACTCGATTTGGAGTCCGG